TAATAATTTAATTTAGCATTTTATGCTTTTTACTAGTTGATCCTATTTTACATGTAATTAATTATAGTGATTGAGAAAATCTACATGAAAATATATATGATTGGGAAATGTGTAGGGAGAAGAAGAAGAAGAAGATTGAGAAAATCTTATTTTTTCTGGTGAGTGTCGAGTCTCCTCCGTTCTGCACGACGTTTGCGAAGAATACTGATTCTAACAGCTGTCAAGCGTAAGAGTTAAAACAAAGATTTTAATTAAAGAGAGTTACTCTGCACAAAATAATCCACAATCTTTTGGATACTCCCGAAATTCTTTGTCAAAAAAAAATTAACTTCCCGCACTGTACTCCTAGATTTCCCATAAAAAATATTAAATATTCTCACTTAGCACTACCAGGACCAACCTTGGCAAACATTCCCCAATAAACCGTTTAATTAATGCGTACAATAGTCTATTAAATACTGACAATGGCATTGAAATTGATATTTTTAACAACACTTTAAATAACTTCAAAAACTAAAATGTATGACTGAACTGTGTTTTCTAGTAAATATAATTATATAATTTTATAAGTATAGTAGTTTCAAATTATAAATATTAATTATTATTTTTATTGTATTATTCTAGTTTTGACATTAATATATATTGTGATTAATTTAATTAATGTATTTAATATGTGTTCTCGAATTCTTATAATAAATATTTGTTAGAAATTGTATTTAACATTTCATATATTATTGTCTTAAAACCGGAAATGTAATCAATGTTGTGTACGCCAATAATTAATGCTTGTACTAGAATAAGTAATCTTATAACATAATAATTTAGAATGTAGGTATAATGTATTGTTGGCATATCTTGCAAATAAATAAAAAAATAAATAGAAATACCTATATAGGACGATACCATACCTATAACCGCGTCGGTGGTCTAGTGGCAGGTATGTACGTAAATCCAGAGGTCCTGGGCTCGAGTCCCGGGTCGGCCAAGTTCAGTTATTGCCATCGGTGCTGCGCCTTAACTCTTACTGGTGTCGAGTAGTCGTCCCACCGAAGTATGAGAGTGACAGGAATTTCGTTCGAATACTTGTGCGCACTATAATATCTTTTGCGCAGATGGCTAGTCTCAATGAGATTGGCCACTGTTATAGCCGAAACATTATAATTATAAAGGACGAATCTTCTATTCGGACGTCGAAGCCGAGATTTGAAAGTAAAATAGTGAAAAATGCGTTAAAAAGCTAAAAGTCATGTTTTTGACAAAAACTAAAAGGATAATATCATAGATTTCTGCAATACAACAATGATCTCCAATTTAAAATCTAAGTTAAGTTTAACTGTAAAAAAATTACATCGTTCATAAAAAAAAGTTGTAGTAAGTGGTTACGCTTAGGAGTGGAATTTTCTCAAATATAAACACGTGAAAAAGATTTGCCAAAAAAAGATTTATGAAATCGGACACGTCTGTTATAATAAGTTTATATAACAATGACCACATCGCACATACAAAATATATACCTGTTGACTTATTAAATACATCCATTACCTGAGAAATGATTGATTTCCCGTATAAAAGGGAGCAATCCCATTTCACTCCCTTAACGCTTCAACGGTCGCGAACATGCCGGCGGCGTGGCAGTTAACAATTGATTTCCCGGAAACTAACCACGGAGGCGTTAAGGGATGATTTCCGGGAAACAAATATCCTATCTCCTTTCCTTCCAGAGTCCCAAACTATCTATATACCAAATTCCATCTAAATCGATTCAGTATATTTTTAGTTTTTCCATTACAAACAATATATATATATATATATATATATATATATATATATATATATATATATATATATATATATATATATGTATATATATTTGTACAATATTAGTAAGTATCTAAATATGTACTTAAATGAATTATCAAATATTTCTCTTGTTATGATTGATAAATGAATGTCACCTATCAAATAAAAATATGTCCTTGATCTTGGAATCGGATGTTGTAAATATTTCATTTTAATTGCCAATGAGAGCGATTATCAAAAGAAAAATACTTTCGATTGACTTCTAGTGCAAGATAATGAAGGTTATCTGTCGGCGTGGGTGAGAGAATATTACTGAATTGAGAAAACTACATATCAGCCAGGCATTACGTATTATAATTTTTACTAGCTTTTTATCTCTTAATAAGTTTTTAATAAAACAACACTAAATTTAAAATGTTATCCCATAGAAACTCATATCCAGGATAAAACGTATCCTGTGTGTTGATGTCGTTAAATTCAGAGTTTATTAATTACAAACAAACAACTATGTTTGTTCTCTTTACAATATTAGTATAAATTAGAAGTATTTTTTGCTTGTCCGATTGCATGAAAATATAAAAATAGCTTTTTGTGGTATGCCATTACTGATCGTGACTGCGTTTTTGTAAACAAATTGATAATGCTTTAATTATAATTAATTCAATAACTTTAAGGAGATCTGGAGATACGTTTGTATTTTTGTGGACATGTTATGCAAATTTGTCTTTTTTGGATCGAATTTTCGTAGTTTTTTTAATGAATAAGGCGGTTCTATATAAATTATGCCCTAAAACGTAAAAAAAATACTTATGTAATATTACTTTGAAGTTACTCTAATAAAAAAAAATTAAATTTTTTTGTAAACTTGTTTTTTGTGTAACAATAGGACAATAATTGTCTCGCAATATAATTATTTTACTTCAATTGCATAAAAAATTGGCACAACATATATGAGTCATGATTAATTTTAATATTCTATTTTATTTTTAAATAAAATTATCTTTTCGGATTATTTCGCGGATTTATTTTGATTTTTATTTTTGGTTCCAGACGTTTCGAAGCTTTACAGCAATCATGGTCACGGGACAAACCTTATCTAACCTACCCACAAATTTACAAAACACATATATCATTTTCATTTTATAAACTCAAATATTCAAGAGTGTGGAATGATGCCCAAACTGATACGAAATCTCTTGAATGTAAAATAGAAAAAACATAATATAACACTAGTTAGATTATTAATTATAGATACGAAGTCATGTAAATTTCAGTCTTAATGAAATTATAATGATACCGTTTTTGCAAAACGTAAAAAAATATACTTTATAAGAATTTGGCATATGTTTTTGAGCAACTGAGATAATAACAGTTTTGTAAGAATTATTATACAAATATAAAACTATTTTGATGCCGATAAAGTGCATAAAACACCATTTTCGCTCTGAAATGAAATAAACTTTTTTCAATTAGACTTATTGCAAGCCGTGGCCGGCATCGGTCAGGAGAACATCACAATTTTTTAGTATAATTTACCATCTATATATATAAAAGAAAGTCGTGTTAGTTACACTATTTATAACTCCAGAACGGCTGAACCGATTTGGCTGAAAATTGGCGGGGAGGTAGCTTAGAACCCAGAGACGGACATAGGATACAGCATATAGCAAATATTCGACTTTTCCTCATTAGTAAAAGTAATAATTTTTTATAGCAAATATGCTATAAAAAATTATTACTTTTACTAATGAGGAAAAGTCGAAACGTACAAAATAATTAGAAATTATACATTAAATCGTAGTTATTGTAATACCACATTGTACATGTGTCACATTAAACAAATAGTAAAACACGCAAGCCTTCCACAGTTCCATGTACTAAGCCATAGGACCCAAAAGAACTCTAAAGAGAAACAAAATAATAATACTAATGTTCCTCCGTACAATTAAAGTTATTCACACATAATGCAAATAACCAAAAGAAGGCAAATTTTAATTTTTTAATTAAACTTACTCAAAAGCAAATACCATAAGTTAACTGTTAGGCTTCGCCCAGTTTGTACTAGATTCGAGTATCGACGCTCGATATCGATATTATCTTAAGATCTTCTTCTCAATATGGCCATTACTCTTTTACTAACTCTATAAGCGTATCAAGGTTCTCAATTATAAAAATATAACAATGTCGAAATGAGCAGAATATATGTACACATTAACATTTAAAATAGTATATTATTTACGGGAAACTGTTTTTATTAATCTATACATATAATAAAATTCTAACTGAGTCAAATCTGTACATTAAATATTTTTTGGAAAATCTTATTGAAATAGACATTATTATCGATACAGAGGCCGAAACTATAGTTTTTAGAATTTTTGTCTGTCTGTCTGTCTGTCTGTTTGTCTGTCTGTTACCGCATCACAGAAAAACTACTGGACGGATTTTGATGACATTTGGTATGGTCATAGCTGATTATCCGGGTCAACATATAGGATACTTTTTACCGCGGAAAAATATCTCATTTCTGAGAAAAAATACAAAAACTGTAATTAAGATGTATATTATATATATTTAAGAATTTGGTTTTTGGTCACCTGAACGCGGGCGAAGCCGCGGGCAATGCTAGTCTGTCATAAAAACGGTAAAAATCTTATAATAATATAGAGTTATATAGTATGAAATTATATTAAAAAATTATGTACCATTTAATTTTTTAATTACTTTATCAAGAAAGAATAAGGTTTAACATTTACACAATTATACAACAACACAATTATATGTATTTAAGATTATTTAGAATAAACCAAAAATATAATTTATAACAATATAAATAAACAAATGTACAAGTAAAATTATCTTTTCGGATTTTTTTGCAGATTTATTTTATTTCACGAGGTTTCAAATGCTTTACAGAAATCATGGTCACGGAGGAGACAAATGTCAAATATTCGCGTAAATCTAAGAAAGTATCAATATATTGTATAAGTAAAATTTAGTAACAAGATAATTAATATAGTTAAAAGCATGCTTGTCACCTGACAGGCATAAATAAGGTCAAAGTATCATAATACGAGATAAAAATATTGTAGTTTAATTACTATGAATCGATAAACTTGAACAAGATAAGATTCTTCAAATTAGTATAAAAAGTGGATTCAGTGAACGACTAGGCACAGTTACCTTCTGGGTTGCTCAAGATGAAGACTGTCCTGGCATTAGCTTGCCTAGCCTTTGCGCTAGTAGGAGCCTCTGTGGTTTCTCCTAAGTACGTCTACAAAACGCAAAATGGTAAGATTAAAGAAAATATTGTAGAAAAAAAATAATTAAATGGTATTTAAGTAAAAAAAATATATTAACACAATATATGTTCATTACAGTTGACGCTGAATTTGTAACAAAGCAGGAAAAGATCCTCAAGCTTTTCATTCATCCCGAGCAAGTGGACCCTGAAGCTGACTACTACAAAGTAGGCAAGGACTACGATATTGAGGCTCACATAAATGATTACACTGTAAGTATTTTTTAATGCGACGACTTTGGCTAATTTTTATTCTTTTTTTTTATTTTTTATTTAAATATATCATATTTTTGCAGAACAAAAAGGCCGTCCAAGAATTCTGGGAATTATGGAAGTCTGGTTTCATGCCCAAGAACGTTCCTTTCTCAATCTTTTACGAAAGACAGAGAGAGGAAGCCGTCGCACTATTCCACATTTTCTACTATGCTAAGGACTTCGAATCCTTCTACAACAGTGCTGCCTGGGCGCGTGTCCACGTGAACGAAGGACAATTCCTCTATGCCTACTACATTGCTCTTATCCACCGCACTGATACTAAGGGTGTAGTCGTACCAGCGCCATATGAGATTTACCCCGAACTTTTCGTAAACTCCAATGTTTGGCATAAGATCTTCCGCATCAAGATGCAAAATGGAATCTTTACCCCTGACTTTGGAGCTGAAGATGGCATTGTTCTTGAAAATGATCGCTACGTGGTATACTCCAACTACTCAGATTATTCTTCTTATTCTGGTGATGAATATAGAATTTCCTACTTTGTCGAGGATATTGGTCTTAATGCTTACTACTATTACTTCCACTCCTACTTCCCATTCTGGATGGACGGAGACCTCTACCCAACAATGAAAGAGCGTCGTGGAGAAGTGTACTACTACTTCTACCAACAATTGTTGGCTCGTTACTACTTAGAGAGACTTTCCAATGGATTGGGAGAAATTCCAGACTTCTCTTGGTGGCATCCGATTAAGACCGGATACAGCCCCTATGTCAACTATTACTGGTCATTTGTGCAAAGGCCTTCTTCCTACCAGATTCCTGTCGCCAAAAAGTACGAAGAGCTTCAACTTCTTGACACTTACGAGAAAACTTTCATCCAGTACCTTGAACAAGGCCACTTCAAAGCTGTAAGTATCAATTTCTTAATTCTTATTTATTTTAATTATTTATGCCAAATACGCATCTGACAAGTTTTTTAACTCTGATTTTTTATTTGTCCTTCGTAGTTTAACCAAGATGTAGATCTACGCAACAGCAAATCGGTTAACTTTGTTGGTAACTTCTGGCAAGCTAACGCTGACTGGCACGGTAAGGTTGCTCGTAAAGACAACCACAACTCCTATGAAGCAACAGCTCGTCGTGTCTTAAGTGCTGCACCAGAACCTGTGGACAAGTGAGTATGCTCATATTAATTATAAGTTTATTTGGAATTGTTGCCTTTATTTTGATATATAGCTATATATTACTAAGAATAAAAATAAAGTTATTTATTAAAAATCAATTCTAAACATTTAAAGTAATGAACCTTCAAAAGTTTATTTAATAATATTATTTGGTAATTAATTAACATTTTAGGGTAATAATATTTTCGTATGATTTGCAGATACACCTTTGTACCTTCAGCCCTGGACTTCTATCAGTCATCACTCCGTGACCCTATCTTCTACCAAATGTACAGCAAGATTTTGAAGTACTTCATTGAGTACAAGAAGTTCTTGACTCCCTACAACCAGGACCTTTTACACTACGTTGGAGTAAAGATTAACGACGTTAAAGTTAGCAAACTTGTGACTTACTTCGACTACTATGACTTCGATGTAAGCAACAATGTGTTCTTCACCAAGGATGAGCTGAAATCTGGACAGTACCCATGGTATGTCGTCCGTCAACCTCGTCTTAACCACAAGCTATTCACTGTTACTGTTGACGTTAAATCTGACGTTGAAGGTGATGCTGTTCTAAAAATGTTCGTTGGACCCAAATATGACAGCAAGGGCTACCCCATCAGCCTGGAAGATAACTGGCAGAACTTCGTTGAATTGGACTGGTCTGTACAAAAGTTAGTTAAGGGACAGAACAAGATTGAGCGCGTCTCTAACGAATTCTTCTTCTACAAGGAGGACTCAGTACCCGTACGTGATATCCTTAAGCAATTGCCTGAGGGTAAAGTACCTACAGATATGTCTATTGAATCCGGTGCTATGCCTAAGAGGTTGTTATTACCTAAGGGTACCAAGGGAGGTTTCCCATACCAACTATACGTTATTGTTTACCCCTACGTCCCAATTGAGAAGAAATTCGAATCTATCAAGACATTCGTTTCGGACAACAAACCCTTCGGCTATCCATTCGACCGTCCAGTAAACGAGATTTACTTCAAACAACCAAACATGTTCTTCGAGGATGTGGAAGTTTATCACGAAGGAGAAGAATTCGCCTACAAGTACAATATTCCTAATCTTTCAATTCACCACAATGAAGTAGTTAAACACTAAGAGTAGAAAGAAATAACAGATAATGTAATAATACACATATATATTTTTAATTGATTTTATTTATGATTAATAAAAGTGTTTGTTAATAAAAACTTTTATATTTTATAATATCCTTTCTTGATTATACAAGACAAGCAAAATAAGCATTTAGAGTAGAGTAGTCCACTTTAAGCTTTACATACCATGAAACGATGTAATATTTTTGTTTTAATTTCTGTAGATATCAAAATTAAAAGGCTATTTGATTAAAACTGGAGTAGTATTTACATATTAACAATATAACAAATGCCCCAAAGAATCGCAACTACTGTTGTACTCAGTTTGTACAGTGTACACTTCTGATTCTTATAGGGAATAATGAACTCACCTACAATTTATCGATGAACTGTTGTGATTAAAAGCCCTCGATTTTCTTGTAAAAACCTTAAGCCATTGTGCCATTAAATTTACAATAACAAATTCTAATTGGCCTATTAATAACAAAACTGTAAAAAAAGTGGACATCTAACAACATCAGCTCAATTTGCATGTTCTTTCCCATCTTTATTCCATGATCTACATACAATCCATCTTCTTCTTCTTATTTATAGAGTCTGCTTTATTGTATACTAATATTGTGTAGAGGTAGTTATACATAAATCGCACAATGATAACCGTTTAAATCCTGCTTATCATAGTGCATTTTTTTTTCAAATTTTAAAATAGTACTTTACTATTGAACAATTTATAAAATAGGTCTCCCATAATTTTCCTTGTATTTCTAGTTCCTACTCGGAGAGAGCTTTCTTGCTCCGATATAAGCACAAATTATATTGGCGTAATTATACTATACTTAATATTATAAAGAGGTAAAGTTTGTGAGTTTGTGAGTTTGTGACGTTGTAGGGGGTAATCTCTGGATCTACTGCACCGATTTAGATGAAATTTGGTAAGAAGATAGTTTTGACCCGGGAAAGGATATAGGATACTTTTTATTCCGGAAATTATCCCTTAAGGTGGCGAAAATGCGGATGAAAGTTGGTATTGGGAAGCAAGCTAGGGACGATCCCGAGCGAAGCGAGAGTGAGTCGCTAGTAGATTATAAATTCTGTAATCTCTGATATTTTCATGTGCGAACCATATCCAACATAATTACCACTTGTCTTAACAGTGAAGAAAAAAAAATCGTGACGAAACCTACATGTCTGAGAGAAGCTAGAAAGTTTTCAAAAAACATGTGAAGTCCGCCTACTCGCACTTGGCCCGCGTGGTGGACTATGGCCTGAATATCCCCCTCGTACTGAAGAGAGGCGCGTGCTCAGCAGAACGACGTTAAAAAGGGCTGAATAAAACTTAAATGACTATTTTACTTAGTTTTTTCCTTTATCTTAGCAAATAGGTTTGGGTTTTTAGGACAAAAATTATCCTAAAAGTTGACGCAGTTGTTGAACGTATATTGTGTGTTGTGTGTTTGTTTGTCCTTCTTTCTCGTCGAAACGGAGAGAAGGATTGGCGTGATTTTTTGTGTGGAGACAGTTGAAGGGCTGAAGAGTGACATAGGCTATTTTTTATTGCGGGAAATCATCTAATTCCCACGGGAAAACATGTTAAAATACTATCCAAAAAAAATATTTATGATCAGAATTACTTGAAATTCGGTATTAATGTTCTTCAATAAAATTAAACAAATACGTGTTTTAGCATATTTCGAAATTAATTCAATTGGCGTAAAATAGGGGATGAAAATTTGCATGAAACTACCTTTTTAGATATTTTCTGTAGTTTAAGCGCGAACGAAGCCGCGGGTTCTGCTAGTATGTATATAAAACAAAAACTATCTAAGAGATTTTTACAAATGTATTGTTATAAATAAACTAGTGACTTACCCCGACTTCGCTCGGGTGCGTCCCTAGGTACGTTTTATATAGATATGAATAGTTATTGCGAGTCACACTGGTAGAAGGGAAACTTCGAAAAAGTTACCTATGAGGGAATGTGATGAATATTATAGAGTATCAGGAGTAGGATAGTTACAATTTATTAGGCTTATTCTTTTTATAATATTACTAGCGGCTAGGTACGTTTTAAATATATATAAATAGTTATTAGCCAGCATTAGCCATATAGATTTAACATTGTTTTTACCGATATAAAAATGGCTGATGATGAAACCATTTACATAATTGAAACTTAACAAAAAAAATGATGTCTATAATAAATATAATTGAATAAAAAAATCATAACAATGTCCTGCTTATTTTAGTTTAATTAAAATATAAATACCGGAAGCTTACCTCACCTTCATTCTCCCTTTATTTCCTTTGTCTTACAGCTTATTTATGTTACGCCTTTTCTTTCCCATTCGAAGGTTCTGGGTTTTTGATTGTCGGCGCAAAATCAAACAAATATGGTTAAAATGTCGTTCATTCGTTCATCGATATTATTATGTATTTTATCGATTAGATTCAAGCACTAGAAATACAGTAAATTTTTATGTATTGTGTATCTGTGTTTATAATAATGTAATAAAAAATTTGTATGCGTTATGCTTCAATTGGTTGACGAGTTTTCATACATTTGTATTTTATGTAGGGTCAGTAGCTAATTCGTTCATGTTATGCTCATTCCAAAATTCATTTTTATTTATATAAGATTACCAACTTTAAAAGGTATTTTACATTTTATTTGACATAAATATACATAACATATTATTCAGTAATTAATCTTATTTTTTTCACTTCATGTGTGATGTATTCTAACGCAAATAATTAAATAAGGCATATTAGGCACATTACAATCAAAAACTTATGCTATTGCAGAATTTTAGAAGAAGGCCTACAGAAAATTAGTACAATAATACAATACATTTTCTTAGTACATTGTTTTGATGTATCTCTTAAGGTTTAGCCGGCGTTAGACATGTAAACTAAGAACGCCTCAATAGAACCACTATTGTGTTTTCCCATGAGAATGAAAGATTTTCCTGTAGTAAAAGGTATCCTAAATATAGACCCAAGTAATAAGTTATCACTACACAAAATTTGTTAAAATCGGTTCAGTAGGTATATTTCACCTGAATTAGTGCACATCGATTTCGTTAAGTTACTGTAACTTAACGATTTATTATATGTAGGTATATATTATGTTTCTACTTTTTTTTTAAAGTCCCATTCATATTTTTCAAGATCACCGTAGCATAAAGAAAATTCATTTTATCCAAATTCATCGTCGTTCACCGTGGAAAAGAAAGTACTTTGAATTATATTATTATAATAAAGAGGTAAACTTTCTATGTAGGGGGTAATCTCTGGAATTACTGAACAGATTCTAAAAATGTTATAATATTATTCTTTATATGTTACTAATGGAAAGCTACAATATCCCTGAGGGATGGATATATTCTATATTTTTATTTTGATTTCAAAATAATTGAATCAAAATTTTGAATCTTAATATTTATATATATATATATATATATATATATATATATATATATATATATAATATATATATATATATGTATATATATATGAAAATAATGCTTATAATTAGGGACGAACCCGAGCGAGGCGAGAGTGAGTCGCTAGTATATTATTATTTTTTAATCTAACGTGTACAGTAAAGTTGAGTAGTAACGCGAATCTCTCGTGGATAAATATGATGTTATACTTCATTATATAAATTTAATTCGAAAATACGGTTAGTACTTTTAGGATGTAAGTAAAGTTATACTAAACCAACGATTTACACCCGTTTCGCCCGGTGGCGTCCCGGTGCTTAACAATAGATGATAAAGTAATTCAACGGACATTTTTTTCGACTGCAATCTATGTTTTTATGATTTCTGACAGTAAACAATTTTTTATCTTAATTAAAAATAGCCTATATGGACTAAGATCCGGCTATAAGATTGCTACGTTCATAGCGTATTTAATTTTTTTTTATATACAATAATAAAAGGGACACTATGTTTTGACCGGGGTGCCTATTAAAATGTGTCCGCTAGTGTGTTTAATTAAATTAATAATAATTGACTTTTTAGAACAAAATCGATATACTTGTTGTTAAAATGAATTATACTCCACTTCACAGAAATATACGTAGATAACTTGAAAATTGATATCAAAAAGTGATCGCAGCCAGGTGTAAGCAGGTCATATCTTGTTACATGTATTCATAGCGTATATTCATTATTTATATATCAAATTAAAGCGATTTTTTTCTGTACCTTGTAAACTACGTCTGCCTATGTAAAAGTGGCCGTAAAAGGGATTGCCAGTCCTTAAAGATTTTTTTGTTACAGTACATTTTATTGTTACAGTGCGGGTTGGCGAACTTCACAATATGTCTTTCGAAAACATAATAAAAAATTCTTTCAGACATGCACACGTTTCCTCACGATGTTTCCCTTCACCGTAAGACAAGTGGTAAACATGTTGGAAATGACAATAAAAATATCAGAGGTGCAAGTCCCAAGATTTGAATCCGCTTTACTCGATTTCCCAAGTGTAAGCATTACCACTGGGCTAGCACTGTCCTTTTCTTTCCTTTCTTGGAAAAACTCTGGTTCTCGACGTTTCGAATGCTTTACAGCAAACATGGCCATGGTAGTGTATGGTATGGTGGCTATTGCGTGAAACGCGCACATCGATTTGACGAAGTTAATTTTATTTCAGGTATAGATAAGAATCGATATTGCGAGAGTACCTTAGGAGATAGACATATACTATTGAGGACTTTTCTGTAGGCCTTTTCAAGATCTATAATTTTTTAGTACACCGTTTTGATGTAAATATGTCTTAAAGTTTAGCCAGCTGAAAGTTTCTCCTTAGAAACGATTAAAACAGTTATTGTGATTTCCCGTGAGAAACAAAGATTTTCCTAAAATAAAAGGTATCCTAAATAATGACCCGAGTAATAAGTTATCACTTCACCAAATTTCATTGAAATTGGTTCTGTACTTTTTGCGTGAAACGCGCACACACAAACAGACAAACAGACACAAAATTTAATAACTA